ATTAAGATATCAAATAATAAGAAAGGTTTTTAACAACAATTATTGCAACAGAAAATTGTAAAATAATTTCAAAACAATTCTAACAATATTTTTTTATGATGTATAACAATTGACCTTATCCTTAGTAAGGTTCCTAGACGCTATATATTTCGTTGGAGTCCCTTTTCATCTCTTTACAAATGCATTTGTACGACAATAAATGGAAAATGTGAAATAACCAATAACAACAATATTAACAACAATATGGAAAGAACAGCTCTTGAAAAGTAAAAGACAAACAATTAACTTTCGTCTAGCCATGTAATTATCATTAAGATTCGCTATCTTTTCTATAGAAAACTATTTTATCAAACACATTCCAGCGTATCATATGTAAGCTTTTTGGCTATATCTGTTTATCTTAATGTTAAAAACCATTCATAAAAAGTTAGCTTAGTTGAGTGTGAGTGTGTGTGTGTGTGTGTGTGTGGATCGTACATAGAACGCGGCATGCATATTTATGGCCTCAATAATATGTGGAACGCTGTTTGGTTTCAGGGGCTGGGCGGGGTGCAAAGAGGGATTTTGCAATTACAAGTGGCAATTTAAATAGCATTTTATTTTGTTGATTTTATTTATAATCTGCCGCACAATTTTTATGATTATATTCGAGCAGCATATTGCATGCAAACAGATGCACAAGCACACAGATACACACTCACACACACACAGAGTCAGGCAGAAGCTGCGACAGTTTTGAAGCTAAATCAGAATTTATGCTTTGTTTAAATGCTGTAAAAATGTCGCTGATTTCTATCGCATGGCAATGATTATAACAATTACAACAACAACTGCCACAATAATAATAACTGTCTATATGTCGCGTAGCGCACATTTATACTATATGTATCTATCCATACACAGCTACACACACACACACACACACACTCAAAGATACATTTAAATAGCGAGCGCGTATTTAAACCAATTTTATGGCGCATTTAATTGTTGCTGCTTATGAGCTACAGCAGCAACAACAGCAACAACGACGACGACGACAACAATAACAAATTAAAAATGGTAACAAAAGGTTAACATAAATTGCTAAAACTAAATTATACATATAAACAAAACATTTTTATGCGATTAAAATCAAAATTACACGCAACGTGCGTCGGCTTCAATTCAATGCAGGAATACTTAGATCTAAGCGAGGGGTCTCTGCTGTGGGGGGTGTGGATGGGGAGGCTTATAGTAGGGGGCAACTCCATACGCTGCGCTGCACATGGCTTACTCTATTGGGGGGGGCTGGCCTTGTCTCTGCTTTGCTCCGCTCTGTCGACGACGCCGAGTTTTGGACATGGACATTGCGACGCGAACGCAGCCGGAAAAGCTGCGCACGTGCTGGAAAAATATGCATTAGAAGTACTTTTCCACCATGCGTGTGTGCGTGTGTGTGTTTGTGTGTGTGGGTGCCAGACCTGTACAGGTCGAGCTATTTATATGCTTGATGATTTCTGCGTAGACTGCGAGCATATCAAAAGAAAGTCGGAGAAAATGTGAGGAAAAAAGTAACATGCTAAAGAACCGTTAAGTTGAATAATAGAAATTCGAGTTGAGATCGGTTCAAATCCAGTTACTAAGCTTCATACTAGACTAAGTGAATGCTAGGCTATCTAAAATCTGCTGAATGCAAACAAGTTTCCCAAACAATAAAAAACAATTAAGTTCAAACAATTTGAAACAAGCTAAAATATGATTATTGTTCTGGGCTCTGTAGAAATTCCAGTTTATATATTTAATAAACATTTGAATATATTTAATTGAAATTAACAATCCTTTCATCTCACACTGCAAAGCAAGTGAATGCGTAGTAAATCGCTATTAAAATTGTTGTATTAATTCACATTCACATTAAGTAAAATATTAAAATCAACTTTAATCAAAGCAACAATTTTATACCCTGAACCCATTCAGGTAGAATGAAGCATTTCCGACCCCTATATAGCATATATATTCTTGATCAGCATCAAAAGCCGAGTTGATCTATCCATGTCCGTCTTTCCGTCTGTCCGTATGTAAGAACGCAAGGATCTCAGAGCCTGTAAAAGCTAGAGACTTGAAGGTGCCCGCACAGTACGAGTTTGTTTCTGATAATCGATAAGTTGCCCCGTTTCCAAGCAATCGCTAGAAATCGATATCGAAATCCTGTTTTTTGAGCGAATCTCTTAGTTTGAGGAGCTAGAGTCAATAGTATCTACAGATCAAGTATCTTTCATTTAATAGATACAGCCATCAAGAAGGCTCAGGGTATCCCCCAGTCGACAACCCCCAACTAGAGCAGTCTTACTAGTTTTAAATGTTTTTTAAATTAGACTGATCTCTTACTTTACATTATTTCAAAATATATTATTTCGCTGCACAGTTCTTTTAAAAATGCAATATGCTTTAAACGAATCTTTTTAGACTGTTAAATTTATTATAGCCTGTATTATCTTATTGCCCTTAAGTAGTCTAAACTCTTTGGAAAAAAAATTTTGTGTACGTAATTAAAGTTTGTATTTTTGTAGATTTCGAAAAGAAGCCCATGTTGAATTTTCTGGTATTTCCGTTTTGTCAGACTTCAGTTAATAATCTTTGCGTCAGACATATTATAGCCTGTAATAGCCATTATAGCCTGTATTATCTTATTGCCCTTATGTAGTCTAAACTCTTTGGAAAAAAAATTTTGTGTACGTAATTAAAGTTTGTATTTTTGTATTTTTGTAGATTTCGAAAAGAAGCCCATGTTGAATTTTCTGGTATTTCCGTTTTGTCAGATTTCAGTTAATAATCTTTGCGTCAGACACTTACTTCTTTTAGATGATATTGATATCAACCTTGGCATTTAATATAGTCACCTAGTATCTAATCTTATCAAATTGCCAAATATATTGATTATCCACAGCTATTGCTAATTGTTGTTGCCTGAGAAGTCAACCTAAAGATAGACCTTATATGGTTTATCTTTAAGTGTTTATTTCTATTGGTTAGTTTCGTTTGTTCACCCATTTGCATTAATAACGTCTTTCTTCGATTATGCCCTACAAATGATCCAAGCTAGTTTTGCTTTGGCTTTTTCCCATGCTCAGGTTATGTTGAGCATATAAATATACATATGTATCTTGTTGTTGTCCGATCTCAGATCAAGTTTAACCAAAAAATAAGTATGTGTTACAATGTGACATGTGTGTTTGTGGTTCTCTAAACATGTATCTCGTAGTATTAGCGGCATATTGCAATCTCTCTGACTGCTGCTTTGGGGCAGCCGTGGCACAATTTCAGCTGTTTAAAGCCATAAAGCTAAAGTGAGCTACTCAGATTTCTATCTCAGTTGCATGAACTTATGAAATGAGAATGCAATGTTTCAAAATATGTTTGGCGGGGCCCTGCCCTGGGAAAGTTGGTCCAGCTGCGGCAGAGCATCCTGCCCAGCCACTTGCAAAAGACTTTGCGCTACTTTTGCGCTCAATTTCAGGTGCAGGCAAGCAACAACAACCACAACAACAGCAGGAACAACAATCGCAGCATTTAACCCTTTTGCCAAAAAGTTTCGAGCGCAAAAAATGAAAAACTTTTTAAAGCGAAAATCAATGCGGGAACCCCGAAAAAGGCAGCTCACGTAGCGGCGCTTCCTATGTACAACCGCATATATATCTCCCTCTGTTTGTCTGTGTGTGTGTGTGTGTTTGTGTGTGTGTGTGTGTGTGTGTGTGTGTGTGTGTGTGTTTGCTGTTTATGCGCAGCAGCTGTACAGAGGCAACACAAACTACACAAAGACTCAGACTCGAAAAGTTGAAGACGGCAGCCAACTTGCCAAGTTGTTCAACCACAAAAAATATGAGCTCGATATTAATAATTTGTATCTAGATAGTTTGTGTGGCAGCCAAAGATGCTGCTGCCTGAGAAAAATAAGAAGAAAAAAAAAGAAACAAAAGCTGTGGCTGTGGAGGCCAAATCGTATGCTTATTAGCTATTTTACATACTTAAGTGTATGAGCGTGTGTGTGTGTGTGTGTGTGCACAGTTATATTCATAAACATGGGCATAATTGTGTATTTAGCTTAATTTCCAGCTGCTAATTTATGCAAATTTAGTTTTATGTGCGCTAAACAGCACACATACATACACACCAACACACACACACACACACACACACACGGAGACACACGCACACCTACACTCAGACAGACTGTGCGTCTCACATGCATAACTCAAAATCGGCAGACAAATCTGCACACATGTTAAAGCCCATAAATAAACCACATAATCACAAACGGAACGATCGATGATTGTTGTCACTGTTTGACAGCCAGGCAATGGCAATGGTAAAAGGCAAAGGCAAAGGCAGCAGGCAGCAGGCAGAAATCAGTGGCCGAAACGCTGTGGCACAAACAGAGTGAGAGGCATTGGCTGAGAGAGAGTCGACAGACAAGCAAAGCCAAAGCCAAAGCCTCACCTGGCGCATGAGCGAGTCGACGTTGAAGCACCGTGCCAAGTGCAGAGCGCAGAGAGGCGTGCCACAGAGAGATTATTGAACGATGCACTCGAGCATGACGAGCCTCAGCAGCAGCAGCGACGGCAACAACAGCAACATCATACCCTACACAAACAAACAAACATGCAACTGCAATAACAACAGCAACAACAACAACATTAACAGGAACCAGAGCCAAGCGAAACGAAACGCAAACCGGTTTACCTGCCCGCGTGCATAACAAACAAAAAACACGCCCCGCATGCAAGCCAAACAGTGACAAGCATATTGCCATTGACAGTAGTGCCGTCTCGCTTTGTTGCCTGGCCTGGCCGCTTGCAGCTGCGACCATCTTGTATGTGCCAAATGCCAAAGCCCGGCCCTCGTCAGACGAGTTTCACACACACACGCGCGCACACACGCACACGCACACACACATACGCAGCGCGTGTCTCTGTCGCTGGCTTTCCTGTTTTGCGCTCGTGGTTCAGTTGGTCTGCGGCCGTTGAAGTGTTTGCTCGTGCCTCGTTCGCCCGTTCGCTCGTTTCGTTTATCGTTTTCGTGTGCTCACACACTACGTATTACGTATACGGTGCGCGTCGCGTTTGCAACAGTAATAAACAGCAACTGCGCTCTAACAACAACAACAACATCAACAATTCTACATTAATAAACAGCGGCAAGCGACAAGCCCAGCTACAAAAATCGCGTCGGCAAAAGCGCGCAAAAATTTACCTAACAACAAATTAGTGCTGAATCAAACAAAACAAACCAGAAGAAAACATAAACAAAACAAATGTGTGACTAACAAATGTGTGCAAAATGTAAGAAAATTATGCAAATATTATTTTTATAAAAGAATACAGTTAAATGACAAGTGTTCAACCAAAACGCAAGTAAGCTTGCAACGGATGTGATTTTAACGCAGCTGCAACACAAGTTCTTATCAGCCTCAGTGCCACAATCAGCATTATTATTATAGATACATAAGAATATAAACTTACAAAACATTAAAAAAGAAACCCAAAATATTTGACAGTTTGCTTATCAATTTATTGCTATCAATTCTAACATTTTAATGAAAAGTGTTTTCCCCAAAAAACAACAAAAACAACAACAACAACAGCAACAACAATGTCGTCGAGTGCAGCTATCTGTGCCTCTGATAAATTGATTGAGTTTTGGGTGCCCAGCAATTTTACAGTGAAACCTTAAACAATCGAAATCAAAAACTGAAAACAGTGCGCAGTGTTCATAGAAGAAATTTATGTTGCCTTATCATCAGTTGCCTGGTTGTTTGTAGCGCAATTGTCAATTGTGCGATAGGCATCTGAGGCCCAACAACAAGAAACAACAACAACAGCAAGCCACAACAACCTGGACAGGTCTTGAGACAACAACAAGTTCTGCTGTCTTTTTATTATTAATAATTTTTGGTTGAAGCTAAAACAAACAACAATAACAACTATAAAAGTCACAACAGCCACATCAAATACAAACAAAAAGTAGTCAAAATTATTGATAAAAATCTGGCAAGAACTGAACAGACATACACAGCTAGATACAACCAGCAGATATCATAGGGCACATATGTACATAGAATGCCAGATAAGAATTTTTCAAAAATTGTATATCTCAATATATATACTTTTGTGTCCAGCTACCTGTCTAAGCAAACGCGTCAATAGATAGCTAGCATATTGATATATGCTGCTTTGTGGACTCAATGATGCGACAGATAGCAACCCCCAGGCCCCAAAACTCATCTAATTGGGCCTAGTCGAGCGTAGGATATAGACCGCATGTTTAGCGCTAATTGCCGGCCAGGTGAAGCTATTGCAGCACACCTTTCCCCGCTTCAGCCAAGTGCGCTCACCAGTTTAGTTGCCGTCGGTGCCGAACGCCCACACAACAAGTTGTCGCTCTCGGAATACTGTTGTGGGCTCTAGCGCCGGAGCCAGGCAAAAGGCATTTACAATTGCAGCTTGCCTGCCTGCAAGGCAGACAGTCTTAGGCTAGGTATGCAGCGCATCAATTTTGTACGCACAAAAGTTCTATTGTTTAAGGGAGTTGACTTCTTAACTGACAGCATTTGAACAAATTCTTAGAAAACTAAATAATTCTTAACTTAAAAATTCAAGAAAGAAATAACTGTTATAAATATGAGACAGTTCTTATCTTCTGTCGAAATGAAATTGCTGAAATAAGTAGTAAATTTCATGATACAAGTTGTTACCAAATTTATAGCAACTATTAATTGCACGAATTTTGGTTGGTATTTTTACTGCCTGATCAACATACTTGCCATTGGAATTGAGAATTAAAAGTTTCAAAAAGAAATAGCTTTGTCAGCTTTTTTTATAATTTGTGATATATACATGTATGTCAAGTCAGATCGTTCCATATCTATATAAAAGTTCTTAATACTAATTAAAATTGATGCAAATAAGCGTTTTTTAGTTTCTTTGTTTGCTTAGATTTCCTGCCCAACAAACAAGTAAATAAAATTCTTTAATATAACTATTATAATAATTAACATATAAATGACAGCCAGGCTTTATTCTTCGATCTCTCCCCAAATTGATATTGCTTGAAAAAAGGCTAAATAGCTGACAAATGTTTGCTATTTTTCATCTTTTGCTATTTGCTTACCTATTTTGCTTGAGCAGCATACCAGGCATTGAAATTCACACAGCGTTGGGCATACAATTGACATGATTTGACATTGTTTTGGGTTTATTAGACGAGTTGCACTCTAAACACCGAGAAAACAATGCAGAACAATGGTCCAAAAATTGTTTGTGCCTCCTCAGAATGCGACATGTTTATTAGATCCCCCGGGAGGACTGCTGCAAAATACTGTGTCTGCCTTCTGTTTCATTGTTCCATCCATCAAGTGTGTACGAAATGCAATACCCCGTTTCCCACACTTTGGCTACGCATGTGGTCATCAAATTCTAATCAGGCTCTGTTGGACCTGGACTGTATATATATATATACTATATATACACCCAGTTATTGTTGTGGCTACCTCGCAATTGTAAATCAACTGGCCAGAGCTGATTGCCAACTGTACTGGCTGGCTATAAAAAGAAATTAGAAACCAAATATAAAATTGATTGAGGCTGATAAGCAAAAGGTGTGAAGCTGATAAGGCACGCAAGAGCTACCGTTGAAAATCATATCACTTGCGAGTCGAAGACAATCGAAAATAAGTTTTCAAGAAGTTCTTATTTAACCTCATTTACAGCCCACGCAGTGTTGCAAAACGCGCGCATAAACATGTGTTGAGAAGCGTCAAATAATAAATATAAATAACGGCAATTATTCAACACTTTCGAGCTTAAGAGCAAGAGAGTGCAAAGCAGAAGCAGAAGCAGCAGCAGCAGAAGCAGGAGCAGGAGCACAGAGATCTTGATTCTCTGTAGAATTTTGCGCGCCCCACGTACTACGTAAAAAACATTCAAAATTATACTCGAAATGGATATGACCTCAACAGCGGAGGCTGCCGCTCGCAGCTGGTACGACAGTCCGCGCTTAGGCGGCGGCGGCGGCGGTGGCGGCGGCGGTTCGCCCCAAACAAATGGCCTGGGCAGCGCCGGCAGCAGCCTGGCCCATAGCCATCACAGCCTGTCCAGCGGCGCCTCATCGGCGGGCAGCAGCGTTGGTGCCGCTTTGGGCGGCGGTGCTGGCGGCGCCGGCCTCGGACTGGATACCAGCGACATGAGCGCCTTCTATGCGCTCGAAAGCAATGGACACCATCGACGCTACTATCCCAGCTATCATCAGCACAGTAAGTAATAGAGACACCCCCCCTCCCACTTCCACTCCCACTCCCATTACCCGCCAAACCAATTCTGATTCCAGGTTTATGTTTTATTTATTGTTTAAGTAATTTTAGTGGCGCACCGAGGCTACATTTGTCCTAATGTCATTTCTAATGCGTTTTTAATGAATGGGGGTGGCTCTCATGCGTGTGTGTGTGTGTGAGTGTGTGGGCTGGCTCAGCCCACAAATCGATTGCTTCGCGCCTTCTTTTTTTTTGTATTTATTTTTTTGTCGCACGTTTCCTGTTGGCTGTGCGCTCGACACAGAGGGAGGGGCAACGGCGACAGGGGCAACATCCCTTAGCTTTACTTTGGGACTAACTGAATCTGTTTGCCCAACCCCTGGCATTGGTTTTTCCCTTAACAAACTGCTTTATTTTTGGCTGCCCCTAAATGTGATTTCTGTGAGTGTGTGTGTGAGTGCCAGCTTTAACGGGCCCTCGCTTTAACTGTAAACAGCTCACTTACAGCTTGACAATTGCGGTGTAACTATCCCAGACGTGGCGACTCCCAGACTTGGCGCACTTTAACTTTTCCCAGCTGCAGCTCCATGTTTTCTAATTGCGCGCAATTTGTTGCCACAAAAAGAAAACCCAAAAAAATGAACAAAAACCGACTATTATTGGCACGGCGAAGATTAAATACCCTTGTGGGCATACGACTTACGATCTTGCATATATTTGAGGAGAATTTTAAAGCTCGTAATTGCTGAGGTTGGGTCAAGATATTTTGCAAAACAAAATAATATTCCATAAGAAACTTAATAAGCGACCGATTCTTCCATTATGATATAGTAGTTCGATGAGGATAAGGTTTAGCTCACATGTGAAAGAGTAGATCTCGTAAATGCTAAGATTGGTCAGAATAACATGTTAAATAAGAAAATATTCTTACGGAACTTTATTTTCGATCGATCTTTCTGTGGCAGGTATATGATATAGTGTTGTTTACTTATGTGAAAGGAAGCGTAGGGAATCTTATAATCGCCTAGTTTCGTTTAAATGTCTTGATAAGGAAACAAGTTTTTCGACAGATCATTTTTACGGCAGCTATATGTTATAGAGGTACGATCCGGCAAGTTCTGATATATGTGCTGCTTGCAACCGAAAAGTTGCAGAATAAGAGTAACTGAGTAATTAGCTAGCATAGAATCAGACAGAGGGATAGACGAACAGAGCTCAAACGCCGCGACTGTTAATGTTGAACAAGAATATATATCATTTATGTGTTTGGATATGTCTGTTTTTATAACTGACACATTTCATAGCAAAATGATAAAACCCCTTTAGAGTATACGGAAAATAGAAGCAAATTATCTATGCTCATTAGTGTTATGGTAGCAGCAACAACAACAACAACAGACAGCAGCAGCAGCAGCAGACGACAACAATTTCTAGATTCACACGCCTGCAACAACAACAAATTGCTCCGAAAATGTGAGCACTTTTTTGGGGCCAAAAAGTCAGGCAGAAATTTTGGGTTCCGCTAAGTTAATTTTCAATTTGAAAAAGTGGGTGCCACCGTTGCGGCGGCTCAGACGGCGGCTGCTGTTGCTGTCAGTTTTGACAGTTGACTGCCCGAAAATCCATTTTCACTTGGCACTTAGCATTGCGCTGCAGTTGCCATTGCCATTGTTATTGTTATTGTTATTTTCTTTCATTGTTGTTGTTGTTGTTGTTGTTATTGTTGTAGCTGAGCGCAGCTTTTGCCTGCATTTTGACAGTTCCACGTAAAACGCGACGAGCGGGACAGACGACGGACGTGTGACATGCATCGATGCGGCTGCCGTTGAATTTATTTCCTGCTACTCAAGTGTGCGAAAATTTTAATTTAAAATTTTTTTTCTCTGTGGCGCGGAATGTGGAACGCGCGCACCGAAAGACAGCCCAAGCGGGTGGCTGCAAGTGATCAATCAGCTCTTTTGGCGAGCCACAGCCTCCTTAGCTCCATAGCCTCCACAGCCCGATTGCCCGCCGACCGCCGCCCCGTTTGCATTTATGTTTAATTCATGTTATTCATATGCGGACTTTATTGATGCTTGATTTGATTTGATGGCAACGCGCAGGCACTGATCCGGCTGCTGTAATTCCATTCATGCACTCTAAAGCCCGCGCATTCAAATCGCGCGCTCTTTGTCTGCCATTTTTTTGACAGACAGTTTGTCGGCTGGAGCAGCTCTTGCAGTTGCTGCTGTGGCTGTGGCTGTGCCTGTGGCTGTGGCTGTGGCTGGGGCTGCTGCTGGTGGAGATCTCGTTGGAGCACCTGTGGCGAGCGTTGATTTTAAAATTCATTAGTCTGCATGTGTCACATTTCGGATGAGTACGTTCGCCAGAGTTGTCAAAAAACTGAATTCCAACAGTAACTCAATTTAGCTGGCACATATGACTCTGCTGCTTAGCTCAAGCGCTTAACATTTGGAGCAGCCCAAATAACAGCGCGTAAAGCGGGCGTAAGTGTGTGTGCGGACGTGTGTATGTGTGTGTGTGTGTGTGTAGGGGGCAGCCATTTACGCACACATATACAAACATTGAGACTCTCGTCGTGTGTTTGCAAATGCAGTTTAATGGATTTTGACGCGCTCACTTAAACACAACACAAACACAATACAAACACACACACATGCAAACTAACACACTTGCAGATTTTTATGATACAAGCCATAAAAACCGACAACAACAATAGCAACATGTGAAATTTAAATTTCAAAAGCAAACATGCCGAAAATTTCGGCAATAACTTTTTTTTCTGATTTTTATTTGTTTTTTTTATTTTTATTCACTTATTTATTTTTCTTGTGTATTGTTTTGGCTCTGGCCGCGTATTTATTGTTGCTCATTTCTTATTTCTGGGTTGCCTTTTCGATGAAAAATGAACATGTTCATATATATGTATAGTCTTCAATATGGCCTCAACAAACTTTTATTTAATTTAGTTTATGTTTTTTGGCAAACTTGGACTTTTTTTCGTGTCGCCATTTGTTCTCTACACTAGAACGGGTCTCATACATTTGCTATCGAGTCACTAATCTAATTTGGTTATTATGCATATATCGATCATAATAAAATATTAGTTTTTATTTTTCATCAAAGAATCATGTGAAATTCTTAGACACTTATTTCTTAAAATTTATTTTATGGCAATTTTCTAAAAATTAGATTTCATTTTAATAATTTGATGTGACAGTGACCTATGGAAATCTAGGTTTTAGTCATTTTTGGCAAATAGAAGAGTATCATGATAATTGTATAATATATTTGAACAATTTTTAATACCTTTCTATTCTACTTTATTTTAAGTATGGTTTTGAACCTGTTTACTAGTACGTCCGTTGTATTATTTAATGAGATTGTCAATGTATTTGTCAATGAGATGTACTGCCCAGTGGGATCTACATATACTCTATTAATTGAATGTCCTAGGTTGATAAACATTTAATTTTATGTTCGCAGCTCAATGAAGACTTTGGTAAAGATATATTGAGAACCAAACAATTCAATTTGCAACCGATTATCGTATAGATATGTACTTTATGATATTGTGCTCCGATTCGAACTTGACTTTATTTATATTATCAATTTTTTAGTTCAACTCTTAAGCTTAAATTAGTATGTCACTTTGGTAGCTTAATAATCTTATTTATACTTTATGCATTGCTTTTCGTAGTGTTATTTATCTCCAGAATTGTTTTATAAATACACATAAAAGGGTATTATGGCTTCGTTTTGAACGCAACAAGAGAATTGGACCGCCTGCACGACTGCAATCATTTAAATGCACTTTTAATTAGCCAGAGACTGCAATAACTGCATTTTAAGCAAGGCTACAAGCACACACACGCACATCAACTCACACACACATAAAAACACACACACAATCTAACGGTTTTTAGCCGTGCGTATTGCCATTGCACTCGCACATTTGCCTACACAATAATTGGGGCCAGAGTGTGGGATAGAATAGGTGAGCAGCAGTTCGGCTTTTTGACAATATTTTTCGTCGTGAATTTTCATTTGTTGTTGCAACTTTGTTGCTTATCGCGTTGACAAAATCAGGCAAATGAAAACTTTGGCAGTGCGCTGTGTGTGCGAGTGTGTGTGTGTGTGTGTGCATGTCTTGTCTGCAGTTGAAAATATTCCCACACAACTCTTGAAGCACTTAACGCAAATGTCACGCACAGTGGCAAAGTCACAAAAGGGATATCAAATAAATGCGGGCCCATTCAGCCAGGGATATCAAAGTCCATTTAAAGCCCAAAGCAATGCCAATGCAATTTGCGCTGCCGCTCGCCAGAGCCTTTGGGGGCTGATGCGAAGTGAAGGCTGGGCCGCTTCCTGGCTGCCAGGCTACCAGGTGTTGCACTTGGTCAGCCATGGTCTCATAAATTTCGCGCTGGCCCAAGTTGTGGTGCGCGCATAAAACAGAAATTTCCAAGAAATTACAACACGGCCAACACAAAAGCACAAAAGCCATAGACATAGACCAGGGCCCCAACAGGCTGCAGGCGGGCCAACACGGCACGGCAACAGCACCAGACAGTCGGGCACGGCACCACAACAAATGTGTGTGTGTTAGTGTGTGTTTGGTTGTAATAGTTGTTGTAATTTACTGACTGCGACGTCGAGCTGACTGAGCCTGGGCATGGCCGAATCTCGGGCCGCAAATCTTAATCCCGGTGCGCAAGTTTTCAGCGAACTGGGCACTGGGAGCGTGGCGGCGGCCTATAAAAATGAGTTATGGTATTGCAATTGAACAGCTGGGCCACCGCTGCGTATGATTGATGTGACTTTAAATGCGCTTCGCCCAGCTTGTGTGTGTGTGTGTGTGTGCGTAAGACTGTCTGTGTGTGCATCTGTGACAATTTTCAAAGGTATTACAAACCTTGAGCTTTCTCATTGCGACTGTTCCTACTGCTGCTGCTGCAGTTGCTGCTGCAGTTGCCCTCTCAATTCGCTTTGATTAAAATGTC